CTTCTTTCTTTGTCGATCAACGGTAACGAGGCCGAGTCGAACGCTATGTTGCAAGACCCGAATGACGTAGTATCTCAAAGATATTATACGAATCTTCTTTCTTTGTCGATCAACGGTAACGAGGCCGAGTCGAACGCTATGTTGCAAGACCCGAATGACGTAGTATCTCAGGGATATCTTTCTTTCGATAACGAGACTAATCGGACCGAGTCGAATGCTACGTTGCAAAACTCAAATGACATAGTCACTTTTTTTTCTTTGTCGATCAACGGTAACGAGGCTAATCAGACTGAATCGTTGCCAACAAATGCTACGTTGGATTATTGCCAAGATGTGTCTAGGTTCGTTGTGAAATGTAATGGTAAAGAACTTGTCTCATTTCCAATTGGGAAAGAAGCGACGGGCAGCAATGGATACATGCTCTTTAGAGGGGAATGCAACAAAGCTCTAAAACGGAAGGGGAATGCTTTGTATAAAAATCAGCTCGCAATTTCTAAGCTAACTAGTCTAGCGTGGAATACCGCTCCTGTCTGCATTAAAGACAAATTCAGATACATTAGCAAACGGAGAAAATGAACTCACCTCAGAGTTTTAGAGGTATGTGTTTGGTTTCAATGATTATAATCACTAGCATTTATTACAATAAGTAAATATAACATTCTATAAATATTTTCTCCCCTCTTATTAAGTTTCCTCTGAATAACGTGAACAACGGCGTTACGAAATTCTCTTTGACGTTGGGAAATTATTTTACCCATGTTGGCAAACAGCAACTTCTGAAAAATTTGAATCTGGATCCGTGAAGGGTGACATTGATTGTCTAGGAAAAAAAAAAGCTATTTGTCAGTTCTACATCATATCTCAATTATTGTATGTTAGAAGAAAAATATACTCTTTCCATTCGATTACAGATCGTGTTTTATAACGAGACTTGGTAGATATTAATTTAAAGTATGCATTTAACATTCTATGGCCAGTAAGAATACAATTATGTTTCGAATAAAAAGGATGGGATGACGTTGACTTACTCTGTGTCTTGCTGAACTAATGGTAATAGCAGTTGTACTTACTACCAAGTTAGTTTCAAAGTTTCCAGCACTCTGAAAAAAAAAGAGGCATGTTCTCGAAGTATACATCAAGGTGACATTTGCTCGTAAATCTTCTGGGAATTGTGGGTTTGTTGGTTTTGCGTGATGCTTTGTGTATATGCTAGCGATTAAGTTTGAGATGCAAGAGAATAAGAAAAAAAGCGAATTAGCATTGCAAATTCAAGTATATTTGCGTTTTCCTCATATTATTCATATATATTTACTCTAACTAATCAACGACCAAATTCGGTTATTGACACATTGTATACATTCTCTGCCCAATATATCGGCGATCCTTCTTTACCAATATCACCTTTTATGTTCTGTGACACAAGTATTTAATCAATGCTTTGCAATTTGCAATGAAATGATTTCACAAAACGTCAATGACTTTTCCTGACAAGAAGACATGAGCGCTTCCGATAGAGCTGATGAGTTGTTTGATGACTTTTCTGGCCTCCCAAACCCCCCCCAAACCTCTATTTTCCAGATCCGTATGTTTGTCAAGCTGAGCCATTGCCAAATTCAGATCCAAAGGCTGAGCTAAACCATGATAATAATTCAGGAATGACCACTCTGTACCTAGAAAATGAACAGCTTACCTCGTTTCGATTGAGCGAGTTTAATCTCAATGGCACCAGTAATGGATTCGTCTATTTTAGACGTCTCCTCAATGAAGCTCTAATACGAGACGGAAATGACATGCACAGCGATCAGATTCGGGTTTCTAAAGTCGCTGGTGCAGCCTGGCAATCTACAACCGCCGCCATAAAGCAAATATTTAACGATTTCAATAGAAATTTGACATCGTCTTCGAGCGCGGTAGGCCCATCGCGCAATGTAACTTGTCCCCACTGTCATTAATTGTTTTGCTCAAAAACTGCGTGGTTGGATTGCGAGTCTTTTTTTTTTTTTTGAATTTTTCGTATTACTGTTGCTCTAGGGAAGCCAAGAGTTTAGATATACTCATTTTTGTAGCACCACTTTTAAAAAGTCTGATAATTTGGCCACGTTCGGCTTCGGTTAAGTCGGACATTTTCAAGTTAAAGATTAAAACACCAATCCCGTTATTATATTGTTTACAAAGAAAATAAATATAAACAACGCGTAAAAATTATATCACAAGTTAGACTATAACATATAAAAAGTTTAGCTTCAGTTATTATGTTACGCTTTAGAGCAATTAATAAAGTTAGGTGTCCGATACTTTTGTCCAGGTAGTGTGTATTTATTATGCTTATTAATGTAGTTAAACCATAAAGTAATAGTAAGTGTACTGGTGGGAAATTGATTTGCATGTAAAGTTGTGTACATTAGGTTATAATATATAAACGATTCAGTAAATTCTGGATGCTATTTCTGATTTATCTTCTTCAGATTTAATTGTAGTTTTTTGAACTGCACCGTAAACTTGTTATCACAATTATATTCAACAATATTCAATTGTAGCATTGATTCTATAGTAATTTATTGCTGAAGAATGGTAAATTGACGTTCTTCATTTATAAGAAGTTCTTCGCACAAATCTATGATATAATTGATGTCTCAACTGTGATGCACAACCAACATGAGACAGACTTGGTCATTAATATTATCTAGAGCTTTACATCTTATCGCAAACTTACATACCAAGGGATGGCAGAAAAATATGTACGGACATATTCTTAGATCTGCAACCGCACTCCCAAAACCAACTATTGCTACTGAACCGATCCCTTGCTAAGCAAAAAATTAGAACATTCCTGTTATTCTGTACTATGTCCACTAGCTTCCCAGTGATTTCTGGGTCTCTCAGACGTTGGCTACAGCTTTGGCGCCCGATGGAAATATGTCAAGTAGAGGCATAACGATAAGTTATCTAAATAGAGCAATATCGTATTTGCCTCTGTGTAA